GCAGGAATTAAAGAAAGGAACACAAATATCTTCTTCAACAGCTCTGAGTTCGCCTCTGTTTTTAGTTCTTACAGGCATCTGCTGCCACCTAGTGGAAAATGTTTTCATTGTTTAATTACATCATTTCCCACAGTACACCTGGTGATCTATCACAGCACACTAATGTTTAGAACCGGCTCCAATAGAAATCAGAATGCGCCCCCTGGTGGCTTTGTATATAATATTGCTTCACTAATTACAGACAAAATGAAAAAACAAACAAGTATTAGACGTGTATCATTATTAGTATACGTTAACTATGACGACTGTACAGTAGCAGATCACGTTAGCCAATCATTCAACGTCCTGACCTGGCCTCCTCCCCGCCTCCTGCTGCTCCTCCTCCGGTCACCTCAGCAGGAGGAGTATCAGCTCTCTCCTGTTTGATTCTGCTCACAGCTAACAGCAGCTCCTCTGGACTCAGGGCCGCCTGGTCAGGATTCCCCTCCTGCAGCTGGGGGGCGCTGTGCTGCTGCAGCTGCTGCTGCTGCTGCTGGACCATCGGTGTGTCAAAGCCTGCGATCTCATCCGCTGAGGTCGTCTGTAAAACGTGAATTAAAATTCAATTAAAATGTGATAATGACTGAAAAACACCGTCATATCGTTGTATAATGACGTGACGTTTTTATTTTTTTTTTTTTTTTAATATTTTAAAAATATATTTTCCACAGTATTTGTCTATACTAAATCTTCAGTTGATGTTCCTGAAACGTCCAGGAGGTGCTGCTTTGTCCTCAAGAACCGAAGTGCAGCCGGCAGTAGCACCGAGACGTCGTCTAACTCTAACCAGACCGTACTGTCTGCCGTTCCTGGTTAAGAATGTTCACTCAGTTCCATAATTCTCATACGAAACTTTTTTTTCCCCCCGTAAAATTGACAGCAACAGAAACGCGTGTCTGGAATTACAAATTACTTTACAAAACGACGTACAAATGACGCAAAATCTGGACGGTCCGTCGCTATTTTACGCCGTACATTTATGAAACATAATTTACACAAATTCCAAATAATATTAATAACAAAAAAAAAGAATTAATCCAAATATTTTATTTATTTTAATTGGTTGTCTGCGTGACTACTGTTTTATTTTGAAAAATGACCGATCCTAATCACGTCCGTTATTATTTGTTTTTTTTTTTTTCATTTTTACGACTTTTACGAGATTCTAGTGCCATTCAAGAGATGAATCCGCAAAAATAAAGCCTAAAAAAAAAAAAAATTACATTTTAGAAGCTTCTTAAAAGTCTTCGGCGTCCACTGAGGAGACAGAGGCAGACCCATGATTCAAGTGCATGCTCTGCATAATAAGTGGCAGCCTCTGATTCAGCATTAGAGTGAGTTGTTTTTTGGGGTTTTTTTTAGCACTTTAAAATTTGTTTTCCTGTCCACCGTTTCATTTTATCCCACTTTGTTTACCGGCCGCACCTTGGCTGATGGCCGCTCTGTGACAATATTGTCTTACAGTAATTGATCTGTGGCAGAAGAAAGTTTCCACTGATGTAGCCCACTGAGGGTTAGCTGGAATGCTAACTGCGTCAGTGAAAAAAAAACAGAAATAAAAAAGTTTTTTTTTTTAAGCAAAACAATTTGCGTTTTTTCAAACCTGTGAGTCACAGCACAGGGGTGAAGAAGAGGAGGAGGCCTTCATCATCATCAACTCCATGCCTCGCTCCACGATGTTCTGGATCTGCAGGTACCCCGCCGTATACATGAGCACCAGCTGCTCGCTGGCGGCCATGCTGAGGCGTCCGGTGTAGCAGAACGACAGGATCTGCTGGAAACACGTCGGGGTGACGGAGGACGGCAGCTCGAACACCGCCTGGGAGGAGGAGGAAGAGGTGGCGGCGGAAGAAGAGGAGGAAGAGGAGTCCGCGGCGGAGCTGAACAGGTCCCTGAAGTACAGGGAGGAGGCGGCCAGGACGGCGCGGTGGGCCTTGAAGGCCTGACCCTGGACCAGAATGGAGACGTCGCAGTAATGACCCAGCTGTCGCTGCTGGTTCAGGCTGCCCAGCACGCTGCTGCCGAAGTCTGGGATCTCCACCTGCATCATTGAGTCGGACATGGCGGCGGCTGGAGGACGGCGGGACGGCAGGACAGGTAGCGAGCGAGGATTCAAACTGACGGGGAAGTTGGAAGTTACACTGGGCACTCTAGGTGTCAGGGACGCCGAAAGTGTCGCCTCCGAAGCATTTTAGATACATAACGTTGTCGAAAGGTCAGAGGTCACGGCCGGAACAGGTTGTAGAGAATCTGAAGCGGGAAAAGAAGTCGATCAGGACTGAGGTCAACGCAGGTCAGGAACAGATGTGACCAGAAGAATCAAAACTAGAAACGTACGCTTTTTACTTTTGGTATTTTACTGGATTGATTTATAGATCTAGAACTTCTAGAACTCTGTAGACTCTGTGTTGGACGTCACCAGATTAAATTAAAGTGGAATTCATTTTCTTCACTTCGTCTTCACTGTTTTTCAAACCGACGACCCCAAAACTGATGGAGCAGGAAGAACTAAAGCTGTGGTTCTCTAACCATGGTGCACAGAACCACTGCTGGTACTCAGACGCTTGTATTGTGTTTGGCTGATATAAAATTGAATTTTTTTTTTCTGTAATTTTTTTTTCTTAATAAGTAGATGATATTTGGTGAGACAAATATTTTTTTAAAGGCAGAAATAATGAGAGTACCACTGTTCTTGAGGTTAAAGGTCATTCATGCTAGTGATGTACCAATGTCTACCCTCAGGGGGCGCCAGTGAGTGGCTAAATAATTGGTTCGCTGGGTTAAATTTTTTTTTTTCAAATTAAGGAACAAATATTTCAAAATGTGTCCAAAAATATTTCAACGAAAAACTTCCTTTCGGAGACACTGGAAAACCGACTGGTTCTAGTACTGGACCACTGAGTAAAGTACATGACAAGGCAGACTTCAATTGACTGGAATAGCTACTACACAAGGCAATGTGAATATACAGTAGACCAGAGGACCTTCAACACATAGTTGAAAGTCCTCTGGTCTGTCCCCCGACCCCTAGCTTGAAATGTGGCATCTTTCCATCCCTGCTGGTTCTGGGTTTGTTGGTATTTTCTCTCAACTCAACTGTCAAGTACAGTCTAGTTCACACTCTACTGTACTGTGTACTACTGTATACCACAGAGTACAGCCTTCAGAGTCCACTGGAGTTCAGTAAGGACTAAAGCAGTCCAATAAAGTTTGTCAAAGTCTATGCTGTCCAGTACCGTTCCAAAGAGTACGGTACGGTCTGGTACGGTCCAACAGAGTGAACAACTTCTGGTACGGTACAGTCGTTACAGTCTGACCGAGTCCAGTACAGCCTGGTGCAGTCCGGGACACTCCAGGACTGGAGTCCATAATCCAAGTCCAGAACCGTGAACCAGGGATTTTTTTTTTCCCAGTGTAGCAACAACACAGAGTTGGAAGGAGAAAAACTGTGAGACTGTGAAGTATAAGACAGGCAGGTGGACAGGGCCTGCGCACAAACTGACTGACAGTTGGACTGACAGGAAGACAACACACGCACAGAGAGAGACCAGGGGGACAGGAGTGTCAACAAAGGAGAGAGACAGGGACAGGTGACAGGGACACAGAGAGACAGGCAGGCAGAAAGTAGGGACACAGTTAGAGAGATGGACAGACAGACAGACGTGTGGACAGAGAGAGACAGTCCCTCACCTCCTCTTTGGTCCCCCGTCCACTCTTGTCCTCATCCATGCAGCGGGCAGGACGGCAGGCAGGGAGAGGTTTTCTTCTCCTCCTCAGCTCAGTCAATGCATCGTCTGGTGTGTCACAGAAAGGGGGGTGGGAT